GCTGGGAGACGTCAGGCTCGGGCGGCCGGTCCTCAGACTGGTCTTCCTGCCGGCGTTTCAGTCAGCTCTGAGACGTTCAACGCGGCCACAGAGGTTTCTTTGCGTCCTCTTTCCTTTACACACACGTGGTAACACCCTCACTCTCGGTGACAGTTACTCGGAAAATATTACATTTTCTCTGAACCACAGACTCAGCTGAAATAGGAGCAGAGAGGCCCACAGAGGTGCTATGCCTCACATTCGGAAGCCAACAGCAAGTACGGTTTGTATTTTAAACATGACGTAATTGAGATTCACCTTCATCCTACTTGGCAGCGGCTCTGTGCTCATTCCCCACCTCCCAGAGGAAATAATGATGTTGGTATTGCTCTGATGTTGGGAATCTTCTTGCAAGTTCTTTGTCCCATTTTCTCTTCACAACATTCCCCACAAGGCAGGGAGGGTTAGTGTGATGCTTCCCTTTAACAGATGAAATACTTTTGGAGCATTCAGAAAGCAGGTCATGGGGTCGTACTCTGCAATTTCTGAAGGAGACCCTGTAACTAAGGTTTATAGGCTCTCATTTCCCTGGCTTTCTGAAATGTTCCATTCAGTGCTCCTTCAAATGATACTTAACTATTATGGAGAAGTACAGTACAGGGTATTCACTAATGAGAGGACTTTGCACATAAAAAGTCACAGGAACATCCGGCAAACAGGTACATTTAAAAAAGCACCATGGCCTTGGCAGTCCTGTCCCTGAGGGCTCCAAATACTAGGCAGTGCTCAGTGACTCAAGAGGGACTTTTCGGAAAAGAAAGCAATTACTTGCCCTAAGACAAAGGAGAAGACTGGAGGCTCCTAACGGATGTGTGGAGCAGCTGCCATTTACTCAGCTAATAGCCCTACTCCATCTCCTGCACCCCAAAGCTCCTTTCCATACACATGACTTTTGCTGCACACTGCCCCCTTTTGACATTTTATTAAAATTCTCATTTCCAGGTTATTCTTACTGGAAATAGAACCCAGGGCCTTTGCACTTAACTACATCCCCAACCTTTTTTTTTAAATCTCAGTCAGGGTCTTACTAAGTCACTGAATTGCCCAGGCTGGATGCGAGTTTGCCATCCTCCTGCCTCATCCTCCTAGCTGGGAATACAGGTGCTGCTACCATGCTCCCCTCTCCAGGTTATTCTTAACATTCATCTAAACATGCTTCGCTGCACAATATCGCCAAATAGTTTTTCCCCCCTTTTTTGGTCTCCATGGAGGAGCATTGTTTAACAGCTAATTAAAGAAAATTTTATATATATATATACATACATACATACACACATATATATATATATTGGTGTATATATATATATATATATACACACATATGTATATATATGGTGTAAATCTTCTGAAATTTAAAGGGCAGTTTAATATAGAAATTTTAAAAAAATATACCATAGGATATTGGGAATATGTTGCCCTGCTGTTTGAGTTATTAAAGTCTCTTTCTCCTGGAAAAGTCACTGTGTGAAGGAGTATCCCGAGATTTGTTTTTGAAATACCCCCTGTCTGGGCTTCCTTTCAACTTCAAAAACATATATTTTAAATTCCCAAACACAAAATTTTATTGATGTAAATTTAAAGCAAACAAAACGTATTCTGTAAGCTCAACTATGAAATGTTAATTTCAGTTCCTTCTTACCTGTATTTTTCATCTTTAAATTATAGGTGTGAGTATATTACGAAAGCATCAGCTAGGTGTGGGGGCATACCGCCTGTAATCAGTACTCTGCGAGACTGAGGCAGGAAGATTGCAAGTTCAAACCCAGGTGGGGCAACTTGGTGATCTGGAAGACCCTGTTTCAAAAACAAAAAAAGAATGGGGATATACCTCAGAGCAAAGGCCCTGGGTACTGGGTGAAGGCTTTTAGATTCTTGAATGAGAAGTAGAAAGTAACAGAGGTGGAACCGTTTTTGAATGAGTTGTTTTGCACCCCTATGAAATTGGTAAACTACTTGATTAGCCCAAGAAAACAGTCCAAAAGGAGGACATAAATTCTTGAGTCAGTCCTGGAAAGAAGCTTGCAGTGAAAACAGTATTTAGTATAATACTTGACATATAGTAGTAGGTACTCAATAAATATTTGTTGGAAGAAGGGGGATGCTTGGTAGGACATGCTCTGATGGGCTTGGATATGCCTTACGCAGTGATTTTTTAGAAGTGATATTGTGATTAAATGCCTTGACATGGACATAATATTCTGCCATTCTGTAAGCTTCCAGCTTAACACTACTGGGTCAAACACTTCAAGAATGGGCTTATGTTTTGTTTTCTGTTTGTTTATAGTACTGGAGATTGAACCACGGCCTGTGTATTAAGCTATATCCTGAGTCCTTTAAATTTTTTTTTTTTTATTTTGAGACACTGTTTCACTGAGTCACTAAGTTGCCCTGGCTGGGTTTGAACTTGTGATCTTCCTGTTTCAACTTCTCAGAATGCTTGGATTACAGACAAGTGCCACCTTGCCTACCTAGGCCTCATGTGTATATAACAATATGCTTAGGTTTTTTTTTCTAAGATTTCACATTATTATATCACTTTTATAATTAAAAATTAATTTGCATTAAAAATCTAGGCTAACAATCTCTAAGTATAACAGAAGAATGTCTCTGTCATAGTGTGTAATAGAAACCAAATTATCGGTGAAATTTTATCACAGATGTTTAGAAAAAATAAATTTTAAATAAAAACAAATGCTTAGAATTGGAATAGTTGGAGTTGTAGGAAAATGGCAGAGTGGTAAACAACAACAACTCAGTTTCTCTGAAATTCAGAATGCAGACACTAAAAAATAACAATCTAGGGAAGAAAAAAATGACGGAAGTAGATCCATGGGCTCCAGGAAGGATCTGACAAGAAAATTAAAACCTGCAGAGAAAGTGAAGAGACAGAACACAATGCGGAAAAGGGAAGGGACAATCTGCACTTTCTCCCTAGCTGGTGACTGGTTTGTGATTCACAAGAAAGGGAGATCACGTCCACAGAGACAAAGTGAAAGTGAGGAACACCAGAGGGCTTCAGGGACAAACAGCACAGCAGTGGAATGGACTTGTGCAGGCTGTGAGCAGCAGCTCCAGGTGAACCGCCCATCATATCCCCTGGAGAAAGTGATTTGTTGGATCCCATTCCAAGGAGGGGATTGTTTGAACCTGAGACTCAGAGCAGCCAGGGGACAGCTTCTATACAGGACTCCCAGTTGTAGATTCCTGCAGTGAGTGGGTGAGGGAGACAGCTTTGATCAGGCTATCCAAAGACCCCCTGAGGGCTTTAAACTAAAGCCTGAGTCCAGACTTAGCCTAAATTGCTCTGGATGTCAGAGGCCCAGAACTGGTGTCCTCACCCTAATCCTACTGCCTACTGGTGCCTGCATCCAGCTCGGATCTGAGTTTGGCCGCCTTCTTTATCTGCCATTGTGAGCAGGAACAGGTTTTGAATGTGGCCCCAAAATTATAGATCCTGGAGGAAAAGCACACATTTTAAATCACAGAAAAAGTTCTTTTATTTTTTTGTTTGTTCATTTTGTGAGTGTGTGTTGTTTTTAGGGTTTTTGTTTTTGTTTTGTTTTTGTTTTACTTTTTCTTTTTTTATTTATTAATTTTTTTGAGTTTATTGGTATATTTTAGGGATACAGTACAGTTACATTCATTGTTGGGATCATGTACCTCTACATGGCAAGTCTTGATTCTCATTTTTTCCCCTTACCTCTGCCCTCCCCTCACCCCCTCCTCCCCTCCCCATCTACAAACACTTTATTTTCATCTTTTCATTCTCTCACATTTTTTTCTTTTCCCTTTTTGTTCTTCCCCTACGTATCACACCTTCCCTACACCTTTAGCTCCTTTCCTCCCATTTCTAAATGTCAGTAATCTTATTAGAATCTTATGCATTGTTGCAGATTATTCACACCAGGGAAACTATTTGGTATTTACACATGTGTGACTTATTTATTTCACTTAGGAGTATATCTTCAATATGTATCCATTTTCCTATGAATGAATCTATTTTCTCGTTCTTTATGGCTGAGTAATATTCCATTTTATAGAAAAACCACAACTTCTTTATCCAGTTTCCAACGGATGGGCAAATAGGCTGTTTCCAAGATTTAGCTATTACAAACTGTGCCGCTATAAACATGGGTGCACATACTTCTCTGTGATATGATTCTTTTAGTTCTCTTGGAAAGATACCCAGCAGAGGGATGGCTGGGTCAAATGGAACCTCCAGTCCAAGCTCTTTGAGGTATCTCCATATTGATTTCCATAGTGGTTGCACTAGTCTGCACTCCCACCAACAGTGGAGAAGGGTTCCTTTCCTCCCACAACCCCGCCAACATTTGTTATTGTGTGATTTCTTGATAGCAGCCATTCTTTGTGGGGTGAGGTGGAATCTCAGTGTTGTTTTCATCTGCATCTCTCTAATGACCAGTGATGTGGAGCATTTTTTCAAATATTTTCTTGCTGCTTTTACTTCTTTGTCTGAGAAATGTCTGTTCATTTCGGATGCCCATTTTTGAATCGGGTCTTTATATTTGGGGGGACTGATTGTTTTGAGTTCTTTATATATCCTTGATAATAGTCCTTTGTCTGAGGAACAGCTGGTAAAACTTTTTTCCCACATTGTAGATTGTCTCTTAGTTCTGCTGATGGTTTCTTTTGAAGTACAGAAGCTTTTTAGTAAGATGAGATCCCAGTTGTTGATTCTATCTGCTAGTTCCCGTGCTACTGAGGATTTGTTCATAAAGTCTTTTCCTATACCAATGTTGGTTTTGTTTTTCTCTT